TAAACTTGCTCATTCATACTAGGATTCCATAAAGCACGTACTAAATTAATGCAGTTGACTGATTTGCCCTATGGCTGTATGCGGAAAAAAGATTGCTGTTGTTACAGCATTCAATCACTTCTGCCTCTTCATGATCTAATGGATATCATTTCATTAGAATTGTCTGTCAGTAGCTGCTTCTTCATGAAATCTCAAGACTTGGTGGGGGATCCATTTGTTCCAAGGGGATGTTAGCTAGACTGGGAAATCTTAAAAAAAAAAGCCATTTTGGAAAAAGGCAGTTGCAAAGCACTTCTATAATACTCCCAAGAAAACTGCCTAAATGCAGCTGCAGTGAGCTTACTTTACGTAACAGCTTCTTAATATGTTTACTTTCTTTTTTGTAGGATTAATAGTGGAACCCCTAAGAGCCCTGACATCTTTTTCTTTTTGTGGGCATTTCTGTACCTTGAATGTGTGGCAATCTAGCCATCACTAGGAGGCTGTAGAGCAAGGCCAGGCTTGTGCTTGTTGTCCCAGCAAGAAAGAGTCCAAAGACAACAGTCACAAGCTCTTCAGGAGTGTAGATAACCTCATACGAGTTCTGCTTCTAAAAGGAAAACAGAGGGGGAAAATGAAGTATAAAAATTCTACTTGAAATAAAGATAAAGTAGTTAATGAAGTTGTTCATACTGTCTCTTTCAACTAAAGGAATCTTAAATCAAGCTTTAACCTGCCTTTAGAATAGATAGAAAAGCCCTTCAATTCTAAGGCATCTGTGGGATCAGCATTTGATGCAGGGGAAGAAACAGCTTGCCTACCTGGTATACCTATCAAATATTGACCACATGTAATGGGCAGAATTAAAGAATTCAGTCTTAAAAATAGCAGCCTTCATTTCTAATGCTTGGCCTCATTTGGAGAATAGTATAGATACCTTTAGCAACAATTAAGCCTGGAATAGGAATACATCCCAACAAATGGCCATGAAGGGGTTGTCCAAGAGTAAAGAAAGAAGGTGGAGAATAAATAGCTTCATTTTCATTCCTATGAGATGAACTAGGTTCATCTTAGATGCATATTGGAGAATACTCATGATACTTAGACAGTTATGCAGGAATGGTATATAGCCTACCTTCTCCAATCTCATAAGGAAGCAGTCAATATAGTCACGGGGGTTCTGAGGATCCAACGTCTTCCTGTGGAACTCCACCTTCTCACGGATATAATCACAGACTTTTTCAGTATCAGCGAAAATCTTGTTGTGTTGCCCAGGAAAGTAATCCATAATTTTTGGAACAGTATTGTACACCTGTCACAGAACTCATGTTAAACACTATACCTTTTCAGACCATTATGGTGGAGGCATAATGCCCCAAATATTCAGAGAGTAGGTTTTACTGTGATGTTGCTAGTTGTCAAATCTCAAATAGGTGCCAAAGCCAAGAAGGCAAGACCTACATGGATTTCAGTAACCTATCTTCAGTTCTAGTCTCAAGTAAATATAGTACCTTGAACACTATAATAGGAATTTATATTTATAGTAAGTTAGCCTCTTTGCACAGCTTTTCCCCAGTACTCTCTTCACTTCAGCTGAGTTCCATTTAGGAGAAAATCTGTCAAGTGACTTGTCCACTGCTTTCCGAGCCCCCACCCCCATCTCTCACATTAATGGATAATTGTGTAAATGCTCTTAGTCCTCAAAGTGGGGAAGATGGACTCTGGCTGTGAGCATAAAG